ATAATAATTTATATTTATTCAGAAATTCAGAAAAATTCCACAACCAATTACAAAATATTTACATAGGCATCAAAAGAAGTGGTGGCTTGTCAGTTTGAATACAAAACATACGAAACATACACGCACAGAATACATAGTAATCAACATTTTAAGTTTTATATTTTGGATCGCCCACAATTGCCGGTACCTCCCGAAAGTGGAAATAATAATAATAATAATAAATAATAATAATAATAATAATAATAATAATGGTTATAAGTAAACTTAGGCTGTACGTAAATCAATCTTACTAGAGTGGTTTGAATATTTATATATTTATTTAATGTATAATTTGTTAATTTGATAGGTTTTTTTTAGTGCTTTTAAAAATTTAAAAAAAAATCATATATTTAAAATGCACTACTGTATGCTGAATTGCTGAATTTTAAAAACATAAATCATGTCACCAATATTCTTTTAAATTCTATCAGGCATACAAATGAATTTGTTTTTTGAAAAACTGCCGCGAAGATTCTCCTGATAACCCAAAAAACGAGTCTAGCGCCCTCTGTAGTTCAGCAATATGTATTGGAACCATAGAGCTCTTAAACAACTAGAGTGCTGACAAGATGGCGCAGCAATGCAGAGTTATGTATGTGTACCATCCAAGATGGCCGTCGTAGTAAGGCGCCACCTTCAGGCTTAGTATACATATTATTACATATTAATAAGCCCTCTGACTGACTATTATTTCATTAATGATAATGAGTAATAGTAATAACAATTTATTAAACTATTGTAGCCCAAACGAGGCCAAGTGAAGCATCTTATTAGAAAATAAAGTACCAAGGAATAAAAATTAAAATCGTATACATTACACCCAAACACCGCAACGCTCGAGTTTCAAACATACAGGTAACTAGCTGTACTGAACTTTCTGAGTAAATTGAGGGCGCATTTGCAAACGATGGCGCTTAGCGAAATTTGATCGGCTAAATCTATGGTAGCCATCTTGGATGGTACACACACACAGTTCTGCGTATTTCGAACATCGAATACATTGCGGTTAGCGCTCTAGTATTCTTATTATACCTCTATGATTGGAACTTGCTTTTTTACAATATCGATGGCGTTCAACATTATTATACTATTTACTTCGCCTTATGAAAACCGTATACAATGTAAATTAATGAGGCACTATGCATCCATAAAATGAAATACAAGATTAAAACGTGCATAATTTATTTTTAATACGACTAATATCAATGGGTAATACACATGTTTTACGTTAAATTGTATTATAAAATAATAATAATATTAAAAATAATTGGCGATGAATGGCTATAAGTAAACTTCGGCCCTACGTAAATAAATCTTATTAGAGGAAGGGAGTAATCAAATAATTATTAATATAATACTAATTTTTTAATTACACAATTCAATTAGTGGGCTTACATAAATTATTAAAAGATGGGTGGTCAAAAATATAATTATTCTTGAGAAATGAAAATTATATCAATAATAAAATAATAGGCCTATGGATTTACTAATGAATTTGGATGATATATAACCAGGATAAATAAATACATAAGAAATTGCGTCCATAAAATGAAATACAGTATAAAAACGTACATAATTTTTAATACGACTAATATGGGTAATACATATGCTTTTCGTTAAATTGTAAATAAAATATTAATAATATTTGAAATATTTGGCGATCAATGGCTATGAATAAACTGAGACCCTACGTAAATAATCTTTTTTAGAGAGATTTGAACTTATTCTTATTCAATTTATGATCAAATAATTATTAATATAATACTATTTTTTTAATTCAACAATTAATGGGCTTACATAAATTATTCAAAAACGGCTGGTCAAAAATAAAATTATTCTTGAGAAATGAAAATGATATCAATATTATAGTAAAAGTAATAGGCCTAGAATTTAATAATGAATTTGGATGATATATTAACCAGTATAAATAAATACATAAGAACTTCATACAATTTTAGTAAAAGTATTATAGGCATAAGAAAATGGTAATATAATTGTGCCTAATTTCAAAGTTCAAACTTAAAAAACATTCATGTGTTAGCTAATAAGTTTGAAAATATTATTCTGTATATTAATTACTTACATTGTATATTTTATTAGGTTAAAAGTTTGAATAAAAAGGCATCGGTAATTTACAGACGTACAAAATAATACGTTCTAATATTCTTTGCCTAAGCTAGTACGGTACTAAATTGGCCATGCGGCCGGGCATGCGGCATTCCGTCTAAATGATTTATCAACTCTAACTGTTCCTTCTTATATATTAACTGCTATATTTATTTTACTCGTGCTCTTCTTTGTAGCTAATAAGTTCGAAAATATTATTCTATATATTAATTACTTTCATTGTATAGGCCTATTTTATACGGTTAAAAGTTTCAATAAAAAAAGCATCGGTAGTTTACAGACGTACAAAATAATACGTAGGCCTACTTAATATTCTTTGCGTAGAATGCGGCATTCTGTCTAGGGGCTTTCGTGCTAAATGATTTATCAACTGTTCCGTCTTATATATTAACTGTTAAAAGAACGATTGAACAGCAGACAGCTAATAATTTTCAAAAACAACACAACAGATCGTATCTTCATCATAGGCAAAGCCTGTATTTAATCCAATAAGTTATGGCCTTAACGGCCCCAATAAGACATGTTTCGGCAGTCCACCTGTCTCTTATACACATCTAGATGTGTATAAGAGACTGTATATAAATATATACATATATATATGTATATATATATATATACATATATATACATATATATATTTATACATATATACACATATACATATATACATATATCATCATCATATATACATATACATATATATATACATATACACATATATATATACATAGGCCTATACATATACATATACATATATATATATATATAGGCCTATATATACATATACATATACATGTATATATATGTATATAATATATATTACATATGTATATATATAATAATAATGATATAATAGAGGTAAACTCTAAACCATCTTGCGGTAAATGCTATAATATATAAATATATATAGATTTTGAACGTTAAAGAGAAATGTGCGAGTGCGAAAAAAGAGTTGCTTCAGCCGGGAATCGAACACGGGACCTTATGCCAACTGAACCATTGATTCCGCTTTGCTTGGGAAATCCGATTAAAGCAACTAATTCTTCGCGCTATTGCGCAGTTGGAGAGCACTAGTCCTTGATCAATGGCAAGCAACAGAGATCAATATGATACACCCTCTTCTTAAAAGCATTTGACGACAAGATAAACCGGTATATGATTTTTTCCTAAAAACTGAGGTCTGAGGTGGCCCATCCTTAATGTTGGACACCAAGACGTCCAGGAAAGGAAGCTTTTTCCCTACTTCTTTTTCCATGGTGAATTTAATGTTGTACTGTTACGGTTCATTCCACAAATTTTTTAGCTTGCATACATTGAATTTTTACTCCCCTATATCAATGATTGCCTGCGTGCAATAGATAACTGACGATGGTAGTGGACTGCCGAAACATGTCTTATTGGGGCCGTTAAGGCCATAACTTATTGGATTAAATACAGGCTTTGCCTATGATGAAGATACGATCTGTTGTGTTGTTTTTGAATATTAACTGTTGTATTTATTTTACTCTTGCTCTTCTTTGTAGTTAATGAGTAGGCCAACACATCGTTAAAATTATGTGTACCACACTTTGGAAAAACATAGACACCAATTCTAAAACAATTTTACACGCACCGTTATCAAGTATTCTCTTGTATTTATAAAATGTTAATACAGAGTTCACGCACGAACAATTTACAAGGCATAAGGCCTACTATACTGTACTGACAAAACATAGACATGCTAATATCATTTTTTAAACATACCAAACACAAATCATGACTCAAAAATTATACATTTATGTTTAGACATTTTAACCCTACTCCCTTTTCCAAATCACTTCTAAAGAATATTATTGTGATTTGTTATTATTATTTTAACTCTTAATAATTGATCATTGATCGAGTTCCTAGTCCACATTTCAAGCGCCCTGAGCATCTTACATTAGATGGATTTGTGCGCTATATAAAACTACACTATTATTATTATTATTAATTATGAAAAAATGACCAAAAATTGATGGTAAATAAAATTAATAAAATTAATTCAAATGAATGCGTGTATTATAAAACAAATTTTTAACTGTTTATGATATAATAATTCCTAAATGATATAGGAAAATCTTCGTACGATTGAAATTATGAAACTCGTAAAAAATAATGTTGGTAGTTGTATGAACTGTATCGTAATTCAGTGTAATGTTTGTTTTCGTAGTTATGCTGGACGCCATTAATTTACACTGCGAGGAACAACGCACCAGATGATGTGTTGGAGAATATGATTGAAACGGCAACAGTTGAGTGTTTAGAACAACAGACGGTGAGTAGAATTAAATATCATTGCATTTTAAACATCACAAGCACACAACATGTGTACACATCATACGACATACAAATAACTTAAAGTCAATTACTGAAATTTTTTTCATGTTGGGTTAAAAATGGGATTTTTATTTCATGATTTATTTGACATTTTTTACAACACAGAAAAAGCCTATGCTCTGGCCATTATCACTAATTCATATGAAATATTGTGAAAAAAATACATTTTACACTTACAAAAATAGTCATGTTTGGATTTGTTCTGTTTAATACAGTTTACTGAATAAATTTGTGACAATAAAATTGATATTTTTCACAAAAAGTATTGTTGCTAAAAATCCCGATTTGGAAATATTTTACTATAGTGTGTAAAACATAGGCCAATTGATACAAATATTTTTTTGCGCGATTTCGCCTAAAAAACCACATTTTAAAAATATTAAATAATGTAATTAGTATTTAATAATAATGAATGTAATAAGTAATGTATGTGTGATGTTTGTGAGTTGTTATGTGTTGTTAATATGTGGTGTGTGTATAATTTCTTGTTGTTGTTTATTATTTCTTTCTCATCATATTCTACGTTTGTCTTGTAGTCTGATGGTTTCACTATTCTCCATTACTTGGTGGCCTACGCACGCGTCTCAGCAATGAGACGCGTGTTGGAAAAAACCAACAAGAAGATTAACACGAAAGACTACATCGTGAGTACAGTAGAAGAAAACAACACTTTATTCATTGCTAACAAATTAACATTAATTCACTCACAAACACATTCAATACATCACGTTCTAATTTAGTAATATTCTTGGTCATAATACTGAGATGTGATTTTTTTTATTTACAACTGGTTGAGAAATATTTTCCGCTCAGTAGTGGAGACTACCTTGACTGTTATTATTTGTTTTATCAATACAACAAAAATAAACCACAATCCATTACTACATTTTTGTCAATATTATTACCATTAATATTAATACAGTACAGGTGCTGTATTATCCTATAATTATTAATTTCATAATACTTATTACCATCATCATTAATTAATGTACCTACTTCATTCTTGCATTGCCATATTATTGTTTTTTTTAATTATCATTAACAATATAAATTATAATTAATATCAAAATTATTATTATTATCATCAATATTATTATTATGATTATTATAATATTACTGAAGTTTCACTATTATTACCGGTAGGCGTTAATAAATTATGGTAGTTATACATTATTTCAGGTACTTTTACGTTTGCGTAATATTTGTTAATTGATATTCTTGTGTTGTGCGTGTTCAACAAACTTGACGTTGATTATCATTTCATTGCAGATTGGACAAACACCACTACATTGCTGTCTACAGAGGAGGCTGACGCACGAGCAACACAAGGAAGTCGCAATTTGCCTGATCACCTTTGGCGCATCGGTGACAATAAAAGATGATGTAATGTACAGAAAAATGAAATGCATCAAAAGAATATCAGTCAATGACCTTAATACAACAACTTTATATGAAACTACTAGAAACATTTTTACTGATTAAAACCAACATAATAAATATAAATTCAAACAAAATTAAATCGAAAACAAAAAAAAACCATACGGGTAATAATGTTGATTTTTAAAAAATTTTAGAAGTATGAGTTTAATAATGTTTATTATAAATTAATTGGATGGTAATTTACAACATAATTATAATGTCGTGATGATAACATTGTCGAGTGTTCATTAGATATATTATTTTTATTATTATCTTTGAGTACCGTATTTAACTAAAATATATCACTGCTTTCTGTTTATTTGGTTTTTAATTGTCTTGCAATGGAATGAATCATCGCGTGCTCGTGTCTGTTATTGCAGAATGGAAAGACGCCTCTTGATTTTTATGATGAAAACAAATGTAAAGGATACGAAGAAACCACGAGAAGTGAAAAGAAACTAGATTTAAAAGAATTACTTGAAAGTACGTTGATTGACTTATTAAATATCTGTGGAATCAAATCTTCAAACTCTATTTAAAACAGTACTTATCATACACCCGTATTACGTTTGACATTTATTTTTTTAATTTGAAATTCTACACAATTAATTTACTATTTCAACATTTTGATTATCGTAAAAAGGTTTATTTCATCGTAAATAATCAAACATATAATTAAAAAAGAAAATACTAAATATTGTTGTTATGTTTGTATATAAATTAGAACTATCAACTCCATCAGAGATTTTAGCCAGGGGTCCCGATGCCGTCAAAGCATTCAAAGATGCACTTAAAAACGGTGAAATAACAGTTGTTAATTCAAGACTGATGTTTCTTGGTCAAGAGGGTTCCGGGAAAACCTCTTGTGTTAAAGCCATGCTGGGAAAAGTGTAAGTACAACAAAATGCCTTGTATTAATTCTATAAAATTGTATTTTTATATTATATGGATCATTATTTTCCTTGCCTTCCTTTTTAGTCGGTTTCAATATTTTTAGGTGCAGTACAGTCCGTGCGTTTTCTACTGCAATTTAACTTTCAATATTCTTTGCTTTTTGTCATGCACGCGCTTGTCTGCTGCGCGTCCGTTTACTTGTAACTTTCTGAAAGTAAGCTTGTTGCTATGTAACGAGTCGATTGTAAGCATGGAATGAGAAAATGGAAATACTGTACTGTATTGGATTTCAAGTTGAACAGTAAATAGGCC